CATTCATGGATAGGTAAATAATTCAGAGATGAACTTCAGCCATACTCTTTAGCATCACAGTTTGAGAAGTTGTAATTTCCTGAATTAAGTGAGGTCCTTGATTTTACAGGTGATAAATTGAATTACAGGGGGAAAAAAAAAATACATCTCTGAACAGCCTATTCTGCATTACCCAAATCTTTGTCCTGGCTATGTAGCCATTTTTTAAACTTTGCATCTCTGCCTTCCCAAAAAAAATGGTAACTGTTTTACTGATTTGCATTATAAAACTTCCAGGTGATAGATGCCAAGGATCCAACAGCAACCAAAATAAACAGCCTGTGTAGGGAACACTCTCCAACCAAAACCCATCTGAAACCTCACAGTGAGCTTGATCAATAACACTGGAGTTACTGCATTTACACAAGTATACAAAACAGAAAAGTCTGAGACAATTTTTGTGATTCTTTATAGTATGTGTATACACACATACATAATTAGGTATATTCTTAGAGTAGATGCTGCTCACTGAGTTGCATTAGTGTATCTATGCATGTAATAGGAATTCTGGGAGCACAGGTAGCCCTCAGCAACTGCTGATGACAGCGTGTTACTGTGTGAATTGTGCTGGTGAATTCTATCAACTTTTGGCAGAGTCAACATTTGGCCAGTATATTTGAGTTTATCACAACCATACCTAAATAGTCATGTGATAGGGATAAATAGCCTTTAAGATATAAATTTGTTTCTCAATGAATATGCGTTTGGAGTCTTGATAGTGTTTCGTGCTTGCTGCTTGCTTTTAACAGTCAAATTCCTTGAAGCAGAAACCCCTCCTACATTTATAGTTGGAAGCATTATGTATGATTACTGTTGCTGAACTGCTCCTGTTGTTTCCAGTAGGTTTTTTAGTTCGTTAATGTTTTGTTAGTAAAGTTTTAAATAGCAAGCTACAATAAAGGGATACATTATTTCTGCTCTTAAAATGTTATTTGAAATTCTTCTGATTGTTTTGAAAGCTAAATACTGAGACTAGTTATACTACGGCAGCTGTATGCATTTCTGTCTTTGTAAGAGTCATTGGAATAAAACATGTATCTGCCTTTATTTCACAAAAGATGAAGAAATCCTCTGGTGTCTTAACAATCTAAATACAAATCTAAAGTACATGGGCTACAATATTATTGCAATTTTAGCAATCTGTTATGAAGTTTATGGCAGAGAAATAACTAGGTCAACCTCTGGATGACCTGTCTTTTGGAGTTTCTTCAGTTAGCTTTAGGCTAGAGCTCCACCTTGTGATCCTTCAGCAGGATACATTTTCTTTTTATAGTTAATAATTTAATTATGATTTCACAAAGTTGAATGCCTTTTAAAGTTTTCACAGGCTTGAGAGATTTCAGTATCTGCTTGGGAAAATTAAAGTTGGAAGTCTGTGAACATGCCAGAAAAGAAACTCAAGCTGATTTTTATGATACGGTTTGGTTTAGCGTTGACTTCCTAGAGTTCTTAAAATAATACGTTCATTAGAACACATTTAATAGATAAGGTCAACTTGCACTGTTTGAAAGACATCTACAAGAATTGAACTTCTTTCTTTTCAGATTTCACTGTGGTATACGAACATGATATATTTAAAAAGTTTTGTTAGGAAAATCATCCATATAAGTGTCCTTTCTTATTGGCTTCCTGAACAGCATGCTTTGAATGAGTCATTCAGTGTGGGCATGAAGGAGACATGGCTGGCAGTACTCTTGAATTTCCAGAAGGTGATGAGATGAAGGGTCTTGGGGAATGACCAGTGTCGCTCTTTTCCCATACCAAAACAAGAGAACATGACATAAAGTTAGAAAGTGATGAATTCAAGGCAAAGAATTTTTACAGTACGAATAGTGTAGAATTTATGTAGTATTTAAAGCCTTTTCATAGTATGGAATTTGGCTGTGGGAGTTCTTGGATGGAAGATAGTCTACTATTTGGAAATATTAATGGAAAAAATAAAGGTGTTTTGAAGTATTGGGACAACCTCTCTGGCCAGCAAAATCCATGGATTATTTCTGGATGCTAGGAAGGTATTCAGGGAAACTTGGCTATAAAGAAAATAACGTTCTTCCTTGGGCAGCTTCTCTTGGTGACTGCCAGAGAGCTTACTGGACTGGGTTGACCCTGTTGGCTGAGCATCAAAAGACCTTCACTCTGGATGTGTATAAATCTTGTAAAATTATTCTTTAGTAGGACAAATGCAAGTGGTTTTTTGGTCATTTCTGGAAATTAAGCTTGCCACCTGAAATCCCTTACACTCTTCCTTTGTACACCATTGCAAGGTGTTCATCTCTAGCTTCTAACTTTTCCAGAGTACCACTAAATAGTTGCACTCATGGGGGCTAAGGTTTTTCTACCTTAAGAAAAACAAAAAATATGAACTTGAACGCTTCAGCATCAAGCAAAAACTTGCTATGTCTGTTCTGTTCTAGGAGATGATTCTGGCAAATGCCACGTTTTTTCTCATGTTTTGTGGTCTGTACCAAGATGAATAGTTCTGACAAGAAGTTCAAATTTGTGTAAAAGGCAGACAGCTTTTGTTAGTGATTTATTTGACTTGTTTGATGTAGAGAACAAGTACTCTAATAATTTGCCTATTCTTTTTCATAGTTCTGTTTGGTTTTTTTCATTTCTATGGTTATAATAATTTTCTGAGATTTTTGTAAAATTCGGTAGGATAGTATAGTTGGGTTTCATATAAGGAGCCAATTTGCATGTAAGGATCCTGATTGTCACTTTAGTAGATGTCTTGCCTCTTAACATTGAAAAAGGTAAACTAGAAAGAGTCAAATACCAACACATTGATAGACAGGTTGAACTTGAAGCTGGGCAGTGCGATTTTTGATGTTTGCATCTCTGCTTTGCACTGGCACTGAATCACAAGCATGCCTCAAAAATAACTTGTACAGTTAATCTTCTTAATTTTTCTTCCCCCCCCCCCCCCCCCGC